CACATCTACTACACAACTAACAGTGTAAAATACTACACAACTGTGTGACACTACACAACTAACAGTGTGACACTACACAACTAACTGTGTGATACTACACAACTAACAGTGTAATACTATACAACTAACTATGTGACACTACACAACTACTACACAACTAACAGTGTAATACACAACTAACAGTGTAATACTATACAACTATGTGACACTACACAACTACTACACAACTAACTGTGTGACACTACACAACTACTACACAACTGTGTGACACTACACAACTAACTGAAATTACACAACCACTGCACAGCTAACAGTGACACTACACAATTAAAATTGTTATATGAAACAACCACTGCACAGGTAACAGTGTGATACTACATAACTAACTGTGTGATATTATACAAACACTGCACAAGAGTGTGAATACATAGCTGCTACACATCTAAGAGTGTGATACTATGGGACACTATTACTAAACAAATAACAGTCACACAACTACCAAACACCTAGCATTGTGACACTGCACAATGTCTAATCAACAACTAACAGTAGAAAAATATATATAGGAAATAGTACAAATTTAGTGTTATATCAAGAGCAGAAACGAAAGAGTTGTGGGAAGCGTTGAACCTGCCTGACTTGAGACTTTGTATTCCTGTGCTGTATATCTGGTTATACAACTTTTTATGTGACAACTGACTATACAATCTACAGTGCAATAATTGGCTGTACAAAGGAACCACTGGCCACACAACAATGTGACAAGACAATACACAGATTGCACAGTGTGCTCCACAGCTAATTATCACAATGGACTACACAACCACCATGTCAATACAATTATTGTTACAGACACGCAACCCCAAAAAAGACATGACACGTGGTGTCAAAACACATCAAAAAATCTAAAATGTCTACAAAGGTTACAACATGCTACATAATCGAACACAAACAGCCTACACAAACCAACAGTTATCACATGACTACAATTTCACACAACCATATCTCCTGATTACACAGCTGGCAACTTCACACTACTGTATCCAAGCAGTGTCTAATAAGCATGCAGGTTTTTGTGACAATCAAAATGATCCGTTCTCCAAAACAGATACAAATGTCTATGAAGTATATAAAAGCACCACAAAATCTGTTTCAATAAAAGTGTGAACAATACACTGTGTCTTACACAATGTATACACTTATTAATATTAAACTGCAGATAAGCATTGTAAAGGTCATATGAAGGTGCCAGAAGTGAGAGAAAGCATAAACAATGTGCAATGTAGTCCCAAATAATATTCAAAGATTATTCCCTGTAAACGGTCTTTCAAAACTTAGATTTGCTGTATTAACAATCCTCCTCCTGGGTCCTTAATTTGTCCACTTTTTCCAGATTTTATTCAGTAGGTAGAATTTATTGAGCATGAGAGTTCTTCGATTTCTTCATTGCCACAAATGACTGTAAAGTTAGATATCTAGTCTGCAAATCCACCCTTAGGTTAGTAAACTGAGTAGGTGTAGTTACTCCTTGTCCTCTTCACAAATAGTGTAAATCATTTTTGTAGCTAACTGAACTTTGGTCCACCTCTCTGAAAAAAGCTTAGTGCTTTCATTGTACAGCAAATAATAATTACACTCTCTTAGCCAAATGTTTTACAGGTTTTGTTTGTGTCATGAATAAAACTGGTTCAACAAGCCTTGCTATTTTTGTAAAGGAATGCTACATAAAGACTTGAGGTTGAATTAAACAGGGGTGCGCAGCTTATTGCATTGGAGTGTGCACCCTAAAGCACAAACACACCGCGTGTATATGTGTATATATATATTTGTGGTCGGGGCAATATTGCCATAATGGTTAGATAACACATAATTAGCAATAAACATCTTAGTCAATAGCACCGGTCAGTTGTGGTGTGCCGGAACCGACGATGCAGTAGGCCTGTAATAAAGAGGGTAATGTGAATAAAGGGAGTAGTGGAAGCGGTAACTCTCTAGGCCGACCACGGTAAAGTGGGAGAGGGTTGGATGCCCTTATATAGATAATGTATAAGATCATGATTTCCAGCGTCTCATGCCAGTTGTTGCCGAGTCTGGCCGTGATTTGTGGAGTAGTCCCGGCTCTAAGGGATGCTGAACTAACTGTGTATACTCTGCGAGATGGAGCACCAGACCTTGCAGAGGTTTTGGGTAGAGACAGTCCTCCAGTGACTTGGGAACTCAAGACATACGATTCAAACAAAGCCACTATTAGTATGATCCATATAACATACCGACAGGCTAGCTATTGCCAAGTGGCGAAGAATTTAACTAATGAGGGTAACAGGTGAGGCCCTGCTAATTGCTAAGTGGCATGAGATGCTCTATCTATGCGTTGGCCCAAGGGGAGGTAGAGGCCACCGAAACGCGGGTGCTGGGGTGATGGCCTCTCGATGACTACTAAAGCATTAGATAGAATGGGAGTGACAGGTGAGGCCCTCCCTATGCAACAATGCGAGGCGAATAACTATGCGTTGGGCCTATGGCATCGTCATCTGAGTATGATGGGTACCACCGAGCATGAGGATGGGTGTTGGCCTTGCAGGACCACTAGACTATGGCATAGAGGCCAGAAACCTATCAAAGTGGGCATCACGATCCTTAATAACCAGTACTATCTGCTAATATGGGACCTCAGCGTAGGCCAGATCGTGGACCTCGCCAGATTGTGGACCCATTGTAGAATGGTGTCCGAGAACGTATGTCTCTGCATGACCAGATTGTGGTTCTATTTAGAATAGTGACTGAGCACGTATGCCTCTGCGAAGGCCCGATCGTGGACCATGTAGAATGGTGACTGAGAACGTATGCTACAGCGTGAACCGGATCGCGGACCAAAATAAGTGAAAGTGACTCACCCCCCCTGAGAAGCGAACCTAAGCCTAAACCATAGAGGAGGGAAACCAAGGAGGGTAGAGGATCATGGCCAAAACCTCCCCCACAAAATAGCGACCAACCTGGAAGCGACTAACGGTCAAGAACCAGCAGGCGACGACGGAGAAGGAACAGAGACCCAGCAACCAGAGCACGGAACACGCCAGCGACCATCATGAAGGTGCAACTGATCGAACCAAAACGCACAAAACGTGAACAGGGCATGGGGAAAACCAGACGAGCGTTAAGAGGTGAACACAATAGCAAAACACAAAGCAGAAACACCTGTAACATATTCATCCTCACCTTGCAGTCTGCGGCCATGCATCTGCACGAATGACACTTGCGCATGTTACTGGACGCCGGCCGCTGTGGATCCGAGGCTAATTATACCCCCACGCTTGCTCACGTAACTGACTACGTCGGCGTGCACGTGACGTCGTGCACGCACGCTCCGCGCACTTACGTTTTGGGGTCAAAGAGCGATCACGGCCAATCAGAAAGGTAAAGCAGGTATAAAAGCCTAGAATTACCTTTCCTCATTGCCCTGTCGAGGTTTCCCTAGTGGTTGTTCAAGAGTGCGTTCCTTATTCTGGTTATTCTGGTTATTTGACTTTGGCATTGATTTTGACTTCTCTGTTTTCTGGTATCCCTGACCTCTGGCTTTCTTTTTTTTTATCGTTGTGTCCCTTTCTGTGTCCCCTGACCTTGGCTATTCCTGACTATTCTGTTTTACGTTAGTCCAGCCATTCTAAGGCCCGGTATACGTTACCTATTAGTCTCCTGTGTTACACAGTTCTACATGCTGGATCATACTGTAATCCTGACAACACCACAGCCAAACACCCACACAAAGCATACCCAGATACAACAAAACACACGTAGCAGAGCCACACATCCACAATACCACGAAACCAGCCAGTAGCTTAGCAAGCGAGAAACCACAGCAACCCAGCAATATAAAAACGGAGACGGATGACCGCCCAACCCTGTAATCCAAGCCCGCCCAGAAAGAGCTGCAATGAGAGTGCCAAAGGCGGCATGAAACAGCAAGGCACACGTGAGCAGTACAGCCCACACGCCCATGGAAAACAGCCGAACAGCCCGCAACTCACACCCCAATATAACCCCCACACCAGCATAAAAAAAAAAAACCCGCACCAGCATAAAAAAAAAAAAAAATAGACCCAATACACTTCCTTGCCCCTCCCTGACCCCCTCTTCACACCTGACACTGCGGTGTAGTGTGGGTTTCAGCGTCCATCCCGCCCCATATTTTATGTCCATCCCCCCATATTTCATGTACACCCCCCATTTCATGTCCATCCCCCCATATTTCATATCCATTCCCCCATATTTCATGTCCATTCCTCCCCCCATTTCATGTCTATTCCCCCATTTCATGTCCACCCTCCCACTACTGACTCACTGAGAGGAAGGGTGGTGAAATCTTTATCATGGAATCACTAGTAGTACTGCACTTACCTAGTCCTGGGAGCTTCTCTCTCTTTCCTCCCGTACAGCCGTCTGCAGAGAGCGCTGGGAGGAAGAGATGACATCACGTGTGACCTCACTTCCTCGCATCACTAGGGAGGGAGGGTTGCCACTCACACTTCTCCACCGGCGGGCAGCAAATGGGGGCCCGCGGCGTTGGCATAGAGGGAAAGCAAGCGCACCCCCTCTTCACTAATATGGGGCCCAGCTCATTCCAGGGCATTACATTGCGGGACGATCCAGGACATGTGGGCACCCTAGGGTGCTGCATATACCACAGGTTTTTTGCAAATTACACCCTATTAAATAAAGACAAAATACACATGTTTGACCCCTTCATGACTGATACATTTCTAAAACTCTGTGTTGGTTTGGGAGTATTGAGTATAGATTGATGTGGGGAAAAAAATGTAAACAATGGTAGCATAAGGCTTCAACACTAATAAACGTGAATGCACTGTGTATATTTGTGGAACGAAGACTCATTTGGCCTAGACTACAGTATTTAAGAGTATTTTTGCACCTTTAACCATTTGTTAAGGACCTTCCTCAAATACAATAGTTCAATTATTTAGTTTTTTTTCACAAGTTTCATGTGGAATTCAGAGACCATTTGTGTCACACACAAAAATAGAATTTGAATATGCGGCTACTTAAAATTGCGAGTTGTAACGAGTACAACTGTACCCCCATGAAGAGATTTTATGGTGTTTTGGAAAGTTACAAGGTCAAATATAGCACATTCCGTTTTTCAGTTTATATACAGTGAAATTTGCCAGATTGGTAATGTTGGCTTTGAGACCGTATCGTAGCCCAGGAATGAGAATTATCCCCATGTCGCATACCATTTGCAAAAGTAGAGAACCCAGGGTATTCAATATGGGGTATGTCCAGTCTTTTTTAGTAGCCACTTAGTCACTAAAGTAAGTGTTCATATTTGTTTTTGTGTGACAAAATGACAAGAGCCTGCGGGGGGTCGACAAAATAACAAGGACTGCAGGGAGGGGGACGAGACAAAATGACAGGGCCCAGCTGCGGCCAGTGGGGGACAAAATGACAGGGGCTCCCAGGGGTTGGGGGGGGTGGAAAAATGACAGGGGCCCGGCAGCGGGGTCAGGGGGGTAACAATGACACGGACAATATTAAACGGCCCCTGATTATAGAAACATAGAATGTGACGGCAGATAAGAACCATTCGGCCCATCTAGTCTGCCCAATTTTCTAAATACTTTCATTAGTCCCTGGTCTTATCTTATAGTTAGGATAGCCCTATGCCTATCCCATGCATGCTTAAACTCCTTTACTGTGTTAACCTCTACCACTTCAGGTGGAAGGCTATTCCATGCATCCACTACCCTCTCAGTAAAGTAATACTTCCTGATATTATTTTTAAGCCTTTGTCACTCTAATTTAAGACTAGTCCTCTTGTTGTGGTAGTTTTTCTTCTTTTAAATATAGTCTCCTCCTTTACTGTGTTGATTCCCTTTATGTATTTAAATGTTTCTATCATATCCCCCCTGTCTCGTCTTTCCTCCAAGCTATATATGTTAAGATCCTTTAACCTTTCCTGGTAAGTTTTATCCTGCAATCCATGAACCAGTTTAGTAGCCCTTCTCTGAACTCTCTCTAAGGTATCAATATCCTTCTGAAGATATGGTCTCCAGTACTGTGTACAATACTCCAAGTGAAACCAAGCACTTCCCTCTTTCTACTGCTAATACCTCTCCCTATACAACCAAGCATTCTGCTAGCATTTCCTGCTGCTATATTACATTGTCTGCCTACCTTTAAGTCATCAGAAATAATCACCCCTAAATCCCTTTCCTCAGATGTTGAGGTTAGGACTCTATCAAATATTCTGTATCCTGTATTTTTACGTCCAAGATGCATTATCTTGCACTTATCCACATTAAATGTCAGTTGCCACAATTCCGACCATTTTTCTAGTTTACCTAAATCATTTGCCATTTGGCTTATCCCTCCTGGAACATCAACCCTGTTACATATCTTAGTATCATCAGCAAAAAGACATAACTTACCATCAAGACCTTCTGCAATATCACTAATTAAAATATTAGAGAATGGGTCCAAGTACAGATCCCTGAGGTACCCCGCTGGTGGCAAGTCCAAGCTTTGAATATATTCCATTGACTACAACCCTCTGTTGCCTGTCACTCAGCCACTGCCTTACCCATTCAACAATATTGGAATCCAAACTTAAAGATTGCAGTTTATTGATAAGCCTTCTATGTGCAACAGTGTCAAAAGCCTTACTGAAATCTAGGTAAGCAATGTCTACTGCACCACCCTGATCTATAATTTTAGTTACCCAATCAAAAAAATCAATAAGATTAGTTTGGCATGATCTCCCTGAAGTAAACCCATGTTGTCTCTGATCTTGAAATCCATGTGTTTTTAGATGTTCAACAATCCTATCCTTTAACATGGTTTCCATCACTTTCCCCACTACTGAAGTAAGGCTTACTGGCCTATAGTTGCCCGACTCCTCCCTATTACCTTTTTTGTGAATGGGCACAACATTCGCTAACTTCCAATCTTCTGGGACTACTCCTGTTAACAATGATTGGTTAAATAAATCTGTTAATGGTTTTGCTAGTACACCACTAAGCTCTTTTAATAGCTTTGGGTGTATTCCATCAGATCCCATTGACTTATTTGTCTTTACTCAAGGAGCAGCTGCTTTAGGCCCCTAGGAATAACTGGGCCCAAAGCAGCTGCCCTTTTTGACCCATGTTAAAGACTGCCCTGACTGCAAGAATCAGTGTTTAAAAGGACAACAGCCAAGGAGGTCGGTGTGGCGGTCCGCCCAGGTATCAGCACCATGGATTCCCTTTTCCTCTAATAAAGTAATAATCCTGAAGGGAAATATCGCCTGTATCACATATCCCCCCACAAATGAGCCAAGGCTTAATGCTGGGAGAAGGCTGTTTTATTTAGGGCCACACACGGCCTTTTATGACAAAGTCCATGCAATGGGTTTCTTAAACAAAATAACAGGGTAATCCCTCCCCTGTACCTGAGAGATAATTGAGTCAGGAACTGTACAAACTCAATTATCTCCAGGTACAGAAAAACACATAATTTACAGACACCCCAAAAGTACCCCCAAAATGCATGACAACCCCACAAAAGTCAAATCCCTGGTTAGCCCTGATCTGAGTGACCAACATATACAAAAATCACTCAGATCGGTTTGGTTTGGTACTTTTTAATCGGCATCGCAAGGTTAGACCGGTTTGCCACAAGGTTGAAGCCCAAAATAGTTCCAGGGAAATTGTGGCAATGGCCGGTCTCCATTCGTGGAGTTTTGTACGAAAACCACATAAGGTACACAAAAGATTTCACTGTTAGAATGCTCCCCTTGTTTGGTAGTTGATAACTCCCGAACGCCATTCATGTAGATGGTCAGGAACTTAAACGGGCAGCAGGTTTATCTTTACCGGCGTTCACGGGAATGCCTGGCCGAAAACAGTTCCAGGCACCCAACGACCAGTTCCTGCTGCCTGCTCCACCCAGTGGAGCATTCTATTAATTGTTTCCTTTAAGGATCGACCGATATTGATTTTTTTTTGAGCCGATATCGATACCGATAATCTGTGAACTTTCAGGCCGATAGCCGATATCTTGCCAATATTCTGTACATTTACTATTTTGTGTGTGTAGTTGATGCAGAGTGTGCAAGGAGAGGAAAAAACTTTAGAGACACCTTAGTACAAAGCCACTTAGCACCTTCGAAAAGAGGGCTTAACAACTATTTACCTAAGGGTACATATAAGTGTGGGCGCTGCAGTGCATGCAAATTTATTGCAAAAGACTCAAAGGAGTTTATAGGCAGTAACAATACTGACATGTTCCCGGTTCACTCATTTTTTAACTGTAGAACTGAGGGAGTAATTTATCTACTTACCTGTTCATGTGGCATGAAATATGTGGGGAAAACTTTTAGACCATTTAAATTGAGAATCAGGGAACATGTGAATTCAGTCAGGAGACCCTTAGAAACTCCGATATCCCATCATCTAAGAATACACCATTCTAATTCATCTAAAAAGATTAGATTTGCGGGGATTGAACATATGCCACAGACTCAAAGAAAAGGTGACTGGGATGTAAAGTTGAGACAACGGGAATCCTACTTGATTGAAATCCAGACTTAAGACCCTCTCACCTGCAGGATTGAACAAGGGTTTTTCATTTGCCGCTTTTTTGTAGCTATTCACTGTTTTTTGATGTGTGTTATACAATAAGGATTATCCTACTTTTGCCCGTTTATATGGATAGTAGGAGCGATTGCATATAGTCACACTTTGTTTAATTTTTATCCTGTATGTGGCTTTCCTAATTGGCAGCTGTCTATATTAATCACTGCATTTAGATAATATAAATGTCCCCTTTGCTTTATTGTAAGTTTACCTATTCTATAAGCCTTTCCCTTTTCTTCACCTTATAGACAGACATGCAATTATTAGTATATAACAAAGGGTTCATTATAATCCTTACCCAATATAATTCTGATTTGGGCCTTTTTGGCCCACTCAATAACTCCTGTTTATGTTAATCTTTAGGTATCAAGGATATATTGTGTTTACAACAATAATAGGTATTACATTATTTATGCATTGGGATTCCTTTATGTCAGTTTTGTGTTACAACTCAATGATTAAACAGCCCTTATGGCTGATATAGGGTTTGGAGGGTTTCCCTCCTACCCTCATATGACATTTCCCTTTCTTTTAAGTGTCAGTTGACTCTGGGGAATTGAATAAAATCAACGACATCTCTCTTCCTTCTCCGGACCGGTCCAGGGAGTGGCGGCGTGATTTAGTCATTGGCTGGCGTCACGTTGCAACTCCCACCCTATGTGTCCGGCCTTCCCACGTGTGCTCACTCCGATTGGCCAATTGGCTTGTGACGTTCGGTCACGTGGACCCGTGTCCAATCGGGAGACAGTCAATTCGGTAGCACACACCCACGTGGGCACACACAGCTGACTCATTAAAGCAGTATATAAATGGCTACACGGCTACATTACAGGTTTATTGCTCCTGACGACGGCATGCTAATATGCCGAAACGCTCGTCGAGCTAATCTATTTATTTTTTTTTTTCTCTTATCATTCACTTGGTAGCACAGAATTATGATTTCTATTTAGGTTTATTTATGTAGACTAGTTTATTGGACAGGCAGGGAGAGATACACAGGTAGGCATCTGTGTGTGTCACACCACAGTGCCGAGGTATATCACTATTAATTACTCTCTCAATAGTGATTAAGAATTGGGTTTGGGTTTTTGGGAGCTTCTTTTTCTCCCCTCCCCTCCCTTCTTTAGGTTAAGTGTATGGGCTCATTTCCCAATTTAGCCTAGCAGTTATTCCCCCTCTATTACCTGTTTCTTTCCATTTCCTATACTTTATCTACAGTTATCCAGGCTTGTATGGATATTTTGATATAGCCTGTTTTCTTTTGAGTAGGTTACCATTTAGGATTGGAATGTGTATTGATTAATTATTTTCCTCTTAGAGGTCTCCCTTACTTTTCTGTCCATTTTTATATCGCTCCCATCATTAGGATCAATAAAGGTAGGGCATCAAGAAAATTAGGAATTGGGTAGTTATAATGAGCAGCTCGTAGAAAGTCTGAAGGATGCAGAGGGAGCTATTAGGATCCTTGCTTCCAGCAGCCAGAAATAAGCAGATCATTCAGATTGCATGTCTCAAATGAATTCATTAAAATCACAATTAGAGAAAAGAAATGCAGTTGTGGCTGCATGCAATGCTGCAGAATCTGATACAAAAGGTGTGCATAACATAGAGTGTAATGTTTTTGCAGATGTTCATGGTAATTGTGAGTGCAGTATTCCTGCAAAAATGGCACTAATCTCTGTTAAATCTCCGATGGATTCTCTAGGAATTTTAAGTTCTCAAAAATGTGTGTCCAGATCCTTGTCCATCGCTGAGATTGATTTAGTTTGCAAAGAGTTTGGAAAAATAGGCTTTCATGGTAACCCAGGTGAAGTGTCAATAATGTAGCCCATGGAGCAGCGGAGCTAAGGGGAATGGGCCTTGACATTGCTAGGAGACAGGCATAGGAGGGGTGTACTGGGGGGTACTGGCGGGGCCTAGTGCTGCAGAATCCACCGCGACACCCGCAGTGCCACCTAGGCATCCTACACGGAGAACACGACCTCCGCAATGTTTGAGCCTCAGCGCTGGCTCCAGCTGGAAGAAGAGGCTGAACTCTGGAGACTGCTGTGAGCGCGGGAGTACAGAAGGTCGTGGCCAGTGTCACTGTGCGGCTACACGGTCTGACTGTCTTCCTGGGAACGAGGCTGAGGCTGCATCTTCGGGCTGCGAACTGGATTCAGCTGGAGGTGGTGAAGGTTTAAGAGTGTATTGGTGTGAACGAACATTCGGGCCGTGAACAGAAGGCTGGATCTGACAAACGTTCTGGCCATGAACAGGAGGATGATATAGGCTGTGAACAGAGACACTGGAAACCGGCCGCATGTTCTGGTCGCGAGATTGAGGACAGTTCGGGCCACTAATAGGACTCCAGGAGGTCACGTTTGGGCTGCATTCGCGTGAATGTGCATGAATCTAGGGAAATGACTGGAGGGAGAAAGGCCACGGCAGGCTCTGCAGCAGGCACTGGAGGTGCTGGGAGCGCTGTTGGACGCGATGGAGAGGTGGTTCCTGCTGGTGAGACACTGGGTGAGTCGTGCCCCATTCCTATGGGTTGCAAGTCACAGGGCAGCGAACTGGTGGTGGAAAGGCAGACACTAGGCACCCAGGCAACGTCAGGGTCCCCAATGACCAGTGGGCAGAGACGGGCTTCTCCGGGCAGGTCACGGGAGAGGAGTCTGTCCCCAGGGTCGCCTCACAGGTCAGCGTTCAGGTCACCTAGCGTGGGTAGAGGCGGCCCAAAGAGAGAGCCCAGGGATGGTGACCTGAGTTGGGAATCGGGTAGGTAGGCATCGACACCCAGGAGGGCATGGGGCGGGCAGCTGAATAGATCCCTATCACAGGTGGGCAAGGAATGCCGCACTCAAGACTATCATGTCAGGCCCCCCCGAGGGTTGTTGGGCGACAAGGGTCACTCTATAGATCTCAAGGGGCCATAGCGACCATGCGGGCTACTACGGCGGGGGACCCCCAGGGTTGCCTACCCAGGGTTGCCTACCCAGGAGAGTAACTTGGGATCCCCTGTTTGGACTGCAGAACGCAGGCGCGGCAGATCGGGGTCCTCTAGTGGGAGTTCTCAGGGTGGCTATGAGGAACGGATGGTGGGGCACAGTCATGGCTGTAAGGGTCAGGAGGCCAGCCACAGCAAGAGAGTAGGGCAGCCAGGACTCAGTCGGACGGCCTACCCAGAGTGTTTTCTCGTTCCAGGTCACCAAGATGGTCGCCCACTGTCTGGGTGAGACCTCATGATGTGGATCTACAGTTGTAGGCGCCATTCGCCTGGTCTTGTGCGACGTCCGGTTGGATACGGCATCCTGGCCTTCAGCGGCAAGAGGTTCCGATGGTGAGTTGTCTTCTGTTAAGCCTTCTGTGTGACATGTCATGATTCCCTTTTATTCTAGAAGTTTGGTCCTTACGGGGTTAAACTAACTCTGCTCTGCTCGCAACTGTTCAGTTACTTGGACGGGATTTGGAAGGCGTACCGCACATACTTGACTTGGCTTGGTGGCGGTAGGGTGATTAGTTTCGTCAGAGGCTTTTGATCAATCCGGGAATGAGGTGGAATCAGATGGACCTACCGCTGTGGATGAAGCTAATGATGGCACAGAAGGCAGCTCACTTTCAGCCCAGGGCCGGCGCGGGATCTTCCTCTACCTCGTCGGCCGTTCAAAAAAAAGAGTTCTGCTGGCTGTATAATGAGGGACAATGTAAGTGGGATGCGGCATGCCTTTTCAAACATGATTGTTCCGGGTGTGGAGGCGCGCATGGTTACAATCGTTGCTTTAAGAAGGATAAGTCCTCTTCCACAAGAGAAACGCTGGGTGCATCGGGGCACCGCTTCTGTTGGGGTGGTCGCCGGTGAAGGTCGCCACGATGTTGCCGTGACTAAACAGCTACGGTAACCAGGAGGATGCTGCATTTTTATTGGACAGATTTACGAGGGGGTTTGTGATTCCGTTTCGGCATCAGGAGGTGCTATGTAATCTGCGGAATCTGAAGTCTGTGGGGGACTTTCCGGGTGTGGTGCAGGAGTAGCTATTTAAAGAAGTACAGCTGGGGAGGATGGCGGAGCCATTCACAGAGCCCCCGTTGAGCGACTTATGGGTTTCACCGTTGGTAGTCGTGCCAAAAAAGGAACCCGGTAAGTACCAGCTTATTCATCATTTATCGTATCCACATGGATCCTCAGTGAATGATGATATTGACAAGGCTCTTTGCTCTGTGTCATATGCATCATTCGACCAAGCGGTCGAGTTGTTTCGGCATGCAGGCAAGGGGGCATTGATGGCCAAGGCTGACATGGAAGCGGTTTTTCGGTTATTGCCCATTCACCCCGACTGTCATCATTTACTGGGCTATTTTCTCGAGGGGCAGTATTTCGTCGAGCTGTGTTTGCCGATGGGTTGTTCCATCTTGTGTGTGTACTTTGAAAAGTTTAATACCTTTCTGGAGTGGCTGGTCAAATCCGTGGCGGGCACTAGATTCGTGGTTCGTTACTTAGATGATTTCTTTATGTTGGGCCGGCAGGCTCAGAGGTGTGCCGCATAGAGTTGAGAACTTTGGTATGGGTCACGAATGTCTTCAGAATTGCTCGTCTTTCCTAGGGTGACTGTTGGTTGCCTGGTGATAAGTTGCTGGTACTCCGGCAAGCGGTGGTGGAGGTCCGGGAAACCAGGAAAGTTACATTGCTGGTGCTTCAGTCATTGGTGGATCGGCTCAACTTCGCATGCCGGGTGATGCCTGTCGGGCAGGTATTCAACAGGTTTCTCTCCAGGGCGACCAGCGGGGTAGCGTCACGCATCATTTCATTCGGGTGTCAGCATCCATGACAGCCGATCTGGATATGTGGCAGTTCTTTCTCTTGGACTTTAATGGACATGTATATTTCTGTGTGCGGGTTTGGGGCTTATTTCGAGGGGCACTGGTGTGCAGATGCATGGCTGGATGAGTGGAAGGCCAGCTCGCTCATTTGCAACTTGATGTTCCTGGAATTCTTTCCTCTAGTGGTGGCACTGGCGTTGTGGGGGCAAAAGCTGAGGGACAGATGGTTTGTGCAAGAGGCCAGGACTCAGCTGCAGCGCAGTTTGACATTTTGTTATGGTTCATGTGTATACTCTTCCAGGATTGGGACTGCAATGGAGGCAACTCGGTCGGGTTTGGGGGATGAACTGGTCAAGAAGATCGGGAGGTGGGAATCGGTGAGGTTCAGGTCATATGAGGCCCAACCGTTTGGTGTAAGTTAGGTTGAAATGATTATGTCTGTTCTATGTTGGTAACATGTTTTTCTTCCACAGGGTCCTGACGTGGTTGTCATATGGTAGGAGATTGTACCGCGATTGCAATGGCGCCACGCTTGGGATCACCAGGCAGTGGCTAAAAGTAGGGGGAAGGTGAATAAAATAATGGCGATTTATGTTAGGTGCTTGGGGGGGTGGTTGTCAGGCATCGGGAGTTGGAAGCTCAGTTGGAGGGGCCATCTATCAGAGGTGGGCACAGATTTTTTGTTGTTAGGGTTTCAGTAAGGTTTACAAAGAGCATTGTTTTTGATGGTAGCGCTCAGGTAGCTCAAGGTGTCGAGCTCTGAGCTATGGCGGGGGATGGATAGAGAAGTTGGGGTGTAGGTTGTTTGTCCTGATGTAAAATAGTTTGGTTCGCTAAGAACAGTTAGGTTTGGAAGGGTATTGGTAGGTTCGAGCTCGTTGGTCGCTCCGAACCTGGTGTGTGTTGGGTATATCTCGGTATACCCCTACATGGAAGAAAGCTGGAAAATCATGCCCTTGGTGGCAATGGTCATGTTTAAATGTTAATTAACATTAATTAACGGTGGTTTTGCTTATTGTGATGTGGGTCATTGTGTGGGGTAGTATTGTTAAAGGAGTTGGGGTTGTTATGTTATGTTAATGTGTGACAATGACCTTTTATTTTTTTAAGCATTATTTATATATTATTAAAGCTGTGATACCAAATAAAGGTGTCCCAGTATTTGTGGGGGGGTGGAGTGGGGGGTTGTTAGGCATATGCTGAAAAAGGCGACAATGCATATGTCAAGATTCATCAGTTTTATAAAGTCAAATCAAATTTATTAGAGGCAGACAAATTTGAAGTACTTTTGAATAGTCTTGCATTTAAGGTGCAGTCAAGTTTACCCCCTGAAGTGTTTGTAGAGCCCAGAAACAAAGATTTGATTTTGCTCTCATATGAAATCTTAAAAGTCCTAGGCATGGATGAGACAAACCTTCATGTTTCATTTTCAAACTGTTTTCAAAGAAATGGACAGTCTGTACAGGAGTATAGTGATAGGTTGTTCATGCTTCACACATTAACACTCCCCACTGGATAACAAACAAAAGTCAAGATGGTATGCATATAAAAGTGCCCTACTAAGAAAAGCACTGCCTTCTATTAAAGAACTTGTTGGATTATCTGTGTCTCCACAGAACCCATTTCCCAACATATTAAATATGTTAAAGAAAGTGGAGGCAATAATAAAAATGCAGTGCAAAATTAATACAGAGAAAGTGTCTGCAATAAATAATTATCAAGAAAACAAATAATTTATTCAACAAGTGGTATAGTTGTGGTAAGATTGGGCACATGATGAGAAACTATAAACATGTGAAAATAAATCAATCTGAAACAATGAGTAGGAATAGCTGGACACTGGGAAATAAAAAGAGAGTCAAATTAATACCAGGTAGGGATCATAGAGAAGAGATCATAATAGAAGAGATAATAAAACCCCCACAGAACCTTGGATTCCCTACCATGCGCGTAAGGCCCAAAATAAACAGCTAAAGTCAAAAAGCTAAAAGTTGAACGAAGAGGCTAAAGGCGTTCATATTATTGGTGAAATATGATAACTGTGAGTGCCTCAATGATTCGGCTAAATAATGCCTCGCAGCACTCTAAATTTTAAATATTTGTGGTTGTCAAGTCACTAGTGTCTCAGTAAAACACATACTTATTCAAAGCACATAGAATAACAAAAAACTATATTTATCTGAGAGGTCTCATTTTCTATTTGAGTCATTTGCCCTCTAGGTGAGGACTGTAAGAAATTGATATGCAAAATTGCAATATTGTATATAACTTTCTGTGTATGTGTCAGGATTACTGTTTGATCCAGCACGTAGAACTGTATAGCACGGATGACAAATAAGTAACGTATTACTGGTCCTTAGAATGGCCGGATTTAATGTACATAGAATAGTAAAAAATACTAGCCGAGGTCAGGGAACAAAGAAAGGGACGCAGCGATGAGGAAAGCCAGGAGTCAGGATACCAGAAAATAGAGAAGTTAATAAACAAAGCCAAAGTCAAAAACCAGGTAGAAAACTAATAACAGGAACGTGCTCTTGGACAACCACAAGGGAAACCACGACAGGGCACTGAGCAGGATGAGAACTGGGCCTAAATACCCCTCCTTTAGTTCTGATAGGCTGTAACCGGCCTTTGACCCCAAAGTCAGTTACCAGGTTTCATTTGCATAATTGCTGCTCAGCATTAACCCTTCTGTGGATTAGTTTGCTGCTCGGCACAACTTTTCCTGTGTGGACAGTAAATGTCATTAACCACATTTCTATAAGCGGATGAATATGTGACACCAGGTTTCATTTGCATAATTGCTGCTCAGCATTAACCCTTCTGTGGATTAGGTTGCTGCTCGGCACAACTTTTCCTGTGTGGACAGTAAATGTCATTAACCACATTTCTATAAGCGGATGAATACGTGACAGTATGTGACTGGTTTCACAAATTGGGGTCATCTACTTGATAACACTGTCATCATAACCAAAGCTTTCAGTTGCATTTTACAACACCCAGCTAAAGCAACAATATCTTACATCCCTCCAGGAGTTCTCCTGCCAACCAGTTTTCCATGCATGTCACCAGATCGGAACATCAGAGTAATTAACATCTAGGTGTAACCAGGCAAGTATGTGTTTTCCCAAGCCACCCTGTCTTACCTACCCAGAAACCTAACCTAACTGTTCAATTCTTACAGAATAGCTGGAGGGAAGAGATCAAAGAAAAGGACTTGTGTAAAGACAGAACTCTCTGGGAAAAGGGGGATGGATTAACCACTTTGTGGGAGGTGATAAGGATTCTGGGATATGTAGTTAAGGACTGCAAGCAGGGCAGTCCAAGCATTTGCATTTGCCCTACCACTGCCTAGCATGCAATCATACCCTCCATCCCAACATACCAAAAAAAAAAAGAAAAACACAAAAAAAATCAAATATCAGTGCTCCTCAACATTTTCTCATCTAAGGCACACTTTTTATAATTAATAAAATTACTAAATAAATAAACACCGTACGTTTTCCCATTAATAAATACCACAGTCAGTGTGCTCATTAATAAATATCACACTGATGCACAGACACACACGTTGTCAGGATTCCTTGGAACTCCTCCATGTTAAAATCATTCTGACCGGCATTACCCGTATGACTTCCGGGTTTCGCTGATCAGTCTCCACCCATGCGTCTGATGTCACATGCTTCTCTTCAAAAGGAAGACGCGACCGCATCTAAAGTGCCTAATCAATTCTTGTGGTTTGATGTGCTCTCGCTACTTGCTACATTGTTGCCGCTTCGCTACAGAACTCTGCTAACCTGATTTCCTGTGTACCGAACCTCTGGCTTTGATCCTGGCTACGATCAACTCCACTCTCCCTCTCAAGGAACAGACTTACCTTCTGATTCCTGCCTCTCTTCACTTACTTCAGGGAACCATAATTCATCCTACACTGGAAAGGACTTCAACTCCCATTATTCATGAAAGGAAAGTTAAGTTCTCCAGTGATTGCAATTATTAATTGTTTCTTACCTAAGGTTATATAAGAAGGATAAGGAATACTAAAGTCTGCCCTCTGGGATTTCTTTTGAATGTCATTTGCCAAATTACTCAAAGTTAATTATTATTGTTTGATTCTAATGACTACAACCACTTTGCATGCCAGGACATATTACATTATCAAGTTTATTTCTTCAAGTTGAAAAAAAGACTTACTTTGTACAACAGGAATCACCTGCTCTGGCAACTTATATTGAAGTTTAATGGACTATACTGCTTGTTGCTAATTAAGAATTCCTATTCTTCATGCATTATTTTAAAACATTATTGCTGCAGAAGACTGCCAAGGTTAAAGTTCTTTACTTAAATAAAATATATTTTCTTAACGTGACAGTTTCCAATTTGTTTCTTCACCTGTGGTTGAGTTCCAAATAATTTTCTCACGAGAGTATTACACATGGACAAATACGACATGCAGTCACAATGTGTCTGTATTTATGTCACGACTGCTAGTGAGGTCCAGCACGCAGAACTATGTAACATCTACATAGACAGAACAGAAAATTATAGAACATAAACCGGTCGTTATAATGGCCGAACTAATCCGTTAAAGACAGAGAATGGTCAAGTGATAGCCGAGGTCAAGGAAGCCAGAAATATACAATACAGTTTAACAAGCCAAGTCAGGGAAACCAGAACTCAGAATAGTCAGGAATAGCCGAGGTCAATATACCGGGAATATCAAAAACAGGACAAGAAAACGCACTTTCGGGAACCAGGAACGGAAACCACGACAGGGCAAAAAACCAGGGAACTTCAGGGATTTAAATATCCCACCTCTGACTGTGATTGGTCAGAGGATGACCTCTGACCCCAGAACGTGCGTGTGCATCGAGGTCGTGATGTCACACGCACGTTTGTATAACCCTGGGGGGCGGAGCTATTTATGACTGTGACCGCATGGTCGGTACCATCTTTAATCCGGGCAGGCTGCCAGGAGAACCCGGTGGAGTGGCTCCCGGCGAAACTATGTTTTATGACTGTGTATGTGATGACTATCTTTAGGGGTGACTGTGACAGGGCCAGAGGGGTGCATGAGACAGGATTGGGCGGTAAGTGTAACAAGAGTGAGTGTGACATGGTTGAAGGAGGGAGTGTGACAGGATGAGGGGAATTAAGTATGACAGGATTAGGGGTGTTAATGTAACAGAGTGGTGTGGCATGGTTGGGAGGGAGTGTTACAGGATTGGGGTGAATGTGGCATGGTTGGAGGAGGGAGTGTTACAAGGTGAGGTGAGGAATTTATGTGACAAGGTGAATGTGACATGGTTGGCGGAAGAGCACGAAAAAATTGGAGGGGTGTGAGGGAGGGTGACAGAGTTTGAGAGGGTACAGGGAGCTTTTGTTTCCGCGGATACAGGGAGCTTTTGTTTCCTGTACCCGTGCGGACTAAAAGGAAGTACACACTGAGTGTGCACTTCCTGTTAGTCCGGCCGGGTACAGGAGACAGATGCTCCCTGTACCCGCGGACCATACAGAGCTCGGCCACGCTACAGTGAGGGAGTGACAGGAGGGAGCGCTGAGCACTTCCCTCCTGTCAGCCCCTCTCCTCATGCTGCGCCTGGGCGGTGCGCCCTTATGGAGGCAGCAGCCTGGGCAAAGCTGCAGCTGCCTGAGGCTCTCTACAGAGCACTTGGGCGGCTGCAGCATGAGTGGGGCCTGCGCTCCTGGCTGCGCCCCTTCCCAAGGGGCGCCCTAGGCAGCTGCCTAGTCCGCCTAACAGGTAGCGCCGGCCCTGTACACATACACTGACACACAGGTACACAAACACAGGTACATATAGATAGACACACAGGTACACATTGGGACACAAGTCAACATACACTGACACACAGGTACACAGACACATAGGTACACAAATACAGGTACATGTACACATACAGACAATTACATATACACTGACACACAGGTACACCTACACAGAAACACATATGCACAGGTACACATTGACCCCCAGGTACACACAAGCACCCAGCCATCCACCTGAACTTAAAAAAATGTGATTCATCAGTCCAGGCAATCTTCTTCCATTGCTCCACAGTTCAGTTCTGATGTCCCCATCGAAGGCGCATTCAGCAGGTGTCATCATGAACACTCTAACTGATCTGCAGCTATGTGAACCAATAAGCAGCAATCTGTAATGCACTGAGCATTCTGATACCTTTCCATCATGGCCAGCATTACGTTTTTCAGAAAATTTGAGCTACAGTAGCTCTTCTGTTTTATAGGACGAAATGGGCTAGCCTTTGCTTACTACATGCATCAATGGACCTTGGGTGCCCATGTCCCTGACCCCCGTTGATCGGTTGTCCTTCCCTGCACCACTTTTGGTAGGTACTAACAACTGCATACTGGGAACACCCCAGAATACTTGCTGTTTTGGAGGTACTCTGACCAAGTCATCTAGCGATCACTATTTGGCCCTACACTCAGATCTTTTCTCTTGCCGATTTTTTTCTGCTTCCAACACATGAAATTCAAGAAGTTATGGTTCACTTGCTGCCTAATATATCCCGCCCCTTGACAGGTGCCATTGCAATGATATAATTCACTTCACCTGTCACTGGTTTTAATGTTGGGGCTGATATATTGATAAAATATATATTAAAAAAATTCAATAAATTATATATATATTATTTATACAAAATATAGAATCCAGTGCACTCGCTTATTCACTAAACAATGATTTCAAATCTTAGATATTGTAATATTTTTATTTAAAAACACCTCACCTAGGCAAAAAATATTGGGGGTTTAGTTACATTATATGATCATACAGTGCATAAGCCTGCCACAACGTCAGGACTCTCTGCAAGTTCAGGTGAGTGCAGCCCGATTGGTTTCATATATATATATATATACATATATATATTTGTGCTCGGAATCTAATATGTAATGGAATGTAGAAGGAGAAGCAAAGTTGGTTGAGGTGTGCCGAAACCAACGTACGAGTAAGCCTGTAAAAGAGGGCCCACAAAGGTGAATTGTTAATATAGATGGGTGTAGGTGGGTGGGGACAAACAGCTTGCACGACAAAGGTAAGTAGGGGGGTAGGGTTTATATAGGATCATAACTCCTCCCACAAATTCAGGCCAAATGGCCTTCCAACTTGTGCTCGGAATCTGATACGTAATGGAATGTAGAAGGAGAAGCAAAGTTGGTTGAGGTGTGCCGAAAGCAAAGTTGGTTGAGGTGTGCCGAAAACAACGTACGAGTAGACCTGTAAAAGAGGGCATAAAGAGGATTCAAAGAAAACACACTTTATGCAAGTTAATACAGCGTGGGCAGGCCCGGACAGGCCATCACAGGATCTCTCCTGCCTGTCTTTGCAGGGCCGGCGCTATCTGAACGCCGGCCCTGCAGTAGTCTACAGCGGGCCGTGGAGAGATCAGAGATCTCCCTCACCGACCCACATAGCGAATACTGCGGCCGCCGGGGGAGAGAGGGAGGGAGCCAGCCTGCCAGCAGAGGAACCCGGCGGAGCTTTAACTTACAGCTCTGCCGGGTTCCTCTCGCGAGATTTGGAGCGTTGCCATGGCAACGCTCCGGGTCTCGCGAGAGTGAACTCTAGCCCAGCAGGGTTCACTCACCATTTGGGCCACCAGGGATGGATGGCGGCAGGAGTAGCAGGATCCCCCCTCCCAGGCATAAGGTAAGCAGGGAGGGGGGATATCAGCAGGGCACATAACACTCCCAGCACCCTCACTCACACACACACACTGCACCCCTGACACTCAGACACACACACTGCACCCCTGACACTCACACACACTGCACCCCTGACACTCACACACACACACTGCACCCCTGACACTCACACACACTGCACCCCTGACATTCACACACACACACACTGCACCCCTGACACTCACACACACACACACACTGCACCACCTGCACCCCTGACACACACACACACACACTGCACCCTGACACTCACAGCACCCTCACACACTGCACCCCTGACGCGCAGCACCCTCACACACACATACTGCCGTCTGACCCTCACAGCACACACACACACACAGCACCCTCACACACACACTGCACCCCTGACCCTCACAGCACACACACTGCACGTCTGACCCTCACAGCACCCTCACACACACACACACTGCACCCCTGACATGCACAGCACCCTCACACACACACTGGACATCTGACACAGCACAAACAAAATGCACCCCTAACACTCAGAGCACCCTCACACACACACACTGCACCCCTGACACACACAGCACACACACTGCACCCCTGACACTGCTGACAGCACCCTCACACACACTGCACTCACAGCACCCTCACACACACTGACACACAGCACAAACAAAATGCACCTCTAACACTCACAGCACCCTCACACACACACACTGCACCCCTGACACACACAGCACACACACAGCACCCTGACACTCACAGCACCCTCACACACTGCACCCCTGACACTCACAGCACACACACTGCACCCTTGACACTCACAGCACCCTCACACACACACACTGCACCCCTGACACGCACTGCATCCCTGACACTCACAGCACCCTCACTCACACACTACACGTCTGACACTCACAGCACACACAAAATGCACCCCTAACACTCACAGCACCCTCACACACACACATTGCACCCCTGACACGCACAGCACACACACTGCACCCCTGACACTCACAGCACCCTCACACACACACTGCACCCCTGACACGCACATCACACACCCTCACTTACACACACTGCAACCCTGACACTCACAGCTTCCTCACATGCATACACTGCACCCTCACACACAGCTTCCTCAAATGCACATAGCACCCTCATGCAA